CAAGGGAGGATATTAGGAATTCCTTCCGTGACCATTTAGAGCTCTATGGTAGAGCAATTCGTCAGATGGATGCTCCTCCCTCAACCTCATTTGCATCTACGTYAGGTAACTCTRCYACARCTTTCCATGTTGCTTCTCACACCCTTGACTCTCCATGGATCATTGATTCTAGAGCATCAAAACACATGACTGGTACATCCTCTTATTTTCAAACCTATCACCTTCTTTCTGGAAGAGACAAGGTGAGACTAGCTGATGAATCATACACTTCCATAGCTGGTCAAGGAACCATCTCTCTTCCCTTGGCCTTACCCTCTCTGATGTCCTACATGTTCCGAAATTTCCGATTAATTTGCTCTCTATTAGTAGTGTCACTAGTTCCTTAAACTGCTTAGTGACTTTTTTCCCTTCTCATTGTGTGATTCAGGATCTAGCCTCGGGAAGGACGATTGGTAGGGGACGTATGGTTGATGGACTTTACATGCTGAAGAATAAGGCTGGTCTTCATGTTACAGAGTCTATGAGTCAGTCCTGTAAGAGTCAAGTTTATTTATGGCATTGTCACCTTGGTCATTTGTCTTTTGAGTCTTTAAAAGTTGTGTTTCTAGAACTGTTCAAGTTTGTGTCCGTTTCAGATTTCTCTTGTCAAACGTGTCAGTTGAGTAAACATTGTAGAACTCATTTTCTTCAAAAAAATAGTAAATATGAATTTCCCTTTCACATTGTTCATTTTGATGTATGAGGCCCTGTTACTTTACCATCTGAGAGTGGTTACAAGTATTTTCTTACCCTCATTGATGATTATTCTAGATATACTTGGGTATATCCCATGTGAACCAGGGAGGAAGTACCAAAAATTATCCAAGATTTTCAGCAGATGGACTTCACTCGATTTCAAACTGAAATCCAAATTTTTCAGTAAGATAATGCAAAAGAGTATTTTCATAGTGATCTCACGGAATTCTTTGCTTCGCGTGGTTCACTTCACCGTAGCTCTTGTGCCCGAACACCACAACAAAATGGTGTTGCTGAACGAAATAACCGCCATCTCCTTGAAGTGGCTCAAGGTTTACTGCTCCATATGAATGTCCCCAAACGTTTTTGGCTTGAGGTTGTCCTTTGTTCTACCTACCTCATTAACCGTATGCCCTCTCGTTGGTTAGAGTGCAAGGCCCCACATCAGCTTCTCTTCCCTAAGGCCCCCCTTCTTCCCAATCCTCCTCGTGTATTTGGTTGTCGGTGCTTTGTCCAAAATCTGTCTCCCACTCGTGGGAAATTGGATTCTCGTGCTATTCGTTGCATATTCCTTGGTTACTCCTTCACTCAAAAGGGATACCGTTGTTTTGATCTAGTTTCTCGGAAATTCTATGTCTCCATGGATGTCTCTTTCTTTGAGGATGAGCCTTTCTTTCCTGTTTCTCCTCAGAGGGAGTGTAGGCATGAGGAGAAACTGGTTCAGCTACCTCCTCTTTCTGATCCTCCGCCTTTTTGTGTCTTCTTCCGTCATCGCAAAGGTCAACAAAATTCAAGAGCTATGGAGAATCCTGAAACTGTGCCTCTAGTGCCATCAAACTCCTCGGGGGAGGATCATACTCACTCAGGTAACTTGGCTCCCAATGATGTTCCTGATTCTATTGCAATTGATACCTCTGTTGCTAATGACCTTGAYCTCCCTATTGCTCAYAGGAAAGGTGTTAGATTGTGCACCACTAAACACCCCATTTCCAACTTTGTTTCCTATGAGAACATTTCACCCNTAGTGAACATAACATATAAATATTAAGAGTGGGGCGGCAGATTCAATCTATCTGTCCCTCTCCTTTCTAAACCCTTGTGTACTTCTGCTTCTCCTCCTTTTCTCCTTTTCTTCTTCTTCTTCTTTTCTCCATCCGAAACCTTTTTGGATTCAAGACTGACTGTAGTCTTGATCGACTACTGAATCCAGGAGAGGAAAGGAAGGACCATTTGATCAAGAGGGAGCAGGTTAGCAAACCTAAGGAACAAGGGGGTTTAGGAATTGGGAACATCCTGATAAAGAACACAACTCTACTAGGTAAGTGGGTTTGGAGGTTTCCCTTTGAGAGTGACAAACTATGGCACAAAGTGATTGAGAGCATTCATGGGGTGGATGGAAATGGCTGGGATGCAAAAATTTCCCCTCACAATTCTTCGGCTTCTCCTTGGAAAGCAATTCATGAAACCTACCCTACTTTCCTCAATTCCATCCAATTCGATGTGGGACAAGGTAATAAAATCCTGTTTTGGGAAGACCTATGGGTAGTGGAAACCCCACTGAAAGACCAATTTCCTGATCTCTTGGCACTATCAAACCTCAAGGGGGAAGCTATATTCATGTTTGGAACATTGTGTCCAAATGGTGTGAATTGGAACTTGGGCTTCAGAAGGGGACTAAGGGAAAATGAGAGAGTCTTTAATCCTATTGCTGGACCTTCTAGGGCAAATCCACTTAGACCATTCGCTGGAAGATTTTAGAATTTGGGTAGGCTCTCCAAACGGTCACTTTTCTTGCTCTTCTTTCTTTAGAGTACTTGTTTCCCCTAACCCCCCAGGTGGGGATTTCCCTGTGAAAGAAATTTGGTGCAAGCCTATTCCCCCGAAGATTCAAGCCTTCTGTTGGGAAATATTCCTTGGTAGGGTAAACACTTGTGATATGCTACAAAAAAGGCCATACATTTTCCTTTCTCCTCATGTGTGCTCTTTGTGTAAGGAAAATGGTAATACCCTATCTCATTTAATGATATCCTGTTGTTTTGTGCTTCAAATTTGGGAATTATTCTGTACTCTCTTTGGCTGCAAGTGGGCTCCCCCTCAAGATGTGGTGGGACTCTTCAATTGTGACTTCTTGAGACAGCGAAAGAAAAGAGGGATAGTAATGTGGGAAGCAACAAAAGTAGCAATTTGTTGGGTAGTATGGGAAGAGAGGAATAGTAGGATTTTCTTGCAAAAAAGCAGAACAGTAAAGGAAGTGATTGATAGCATCAAGGTGAAAGTAGCTCATTGGGTAAAATCCTTGGTTAGCTTTCTTCTCAGTCACAGACATTCTCAGAACCTGGTCTGAAGTAGCACAATCATCGAGAGTAAGAGATAAAGTAAGGCTGGAGTGGAAACCACCAGAAGGCACTAAAGTGAAACTGAATTTTGATGGAGCTCCTTTGGAAATCCGGTCCTTTCAAGAGTAGGAGTATTCAGAAATTCTGAAAGGAGGATATTGGGTATGTTCTCAGGACCGGTTGGCACCAAAAACTCATTGAAGGCTGAACTTTTGGCATTACTACAAGGTTTAAAGCTAGCCAATCAGTTAGGATACAGGCATGTTGAGGTGAAAGGGGACTCAAAAGTAGTAATTTCCTAGGTAGAAAACAGCAGCCATACCCCATGGACGTTCATGCATGTGATTAAGGAAGTGGAGAAGATTGCAAAGGAGGTTGAGGTTGAATTTAAATGGGTCCGAAGGAGTGCAAATGGGCTAGCTGATTGTTTAGCAAAACAGGGGGCATTGAGACAGCAATTATTTTGGGCTGCACTGTAATGAGGGATAGAAAAGAGTGATTAAAAGGATCATCAGTCCCATCACCAAGTTGTATAAACTGTTTACAATATGAAATTTAAATAAAATACATGTTTACTGATAAAAAAGGGATAATTTATTGTTCACAGGCCATAACCACAATACACACATTAGATGGTGGACTGATCATTAAATGAATCTCATGCAAAGAATTTTCTCAAAGACAGAAGACCCAACAACCTGATCCTGACCACTAGATATATAGGCCTTTGCAGTGACTGAATCAGATTGTTGGCAACTCTTACGAGAGAAATTTTAAAAAGGGCAGCCCAGTGCACGAAGCTCCCACCAATATGGGGTCTGGGGAGAGATAGATGTACGCAGCCTTTCCCTGCACATACAGAGAGGCTGTTTACAAGATTTGGACCCTGGTTACCGAGGTCGCAATGGAGCAACCCAACCATTGCACCAAGGCACACCCTCTCTTAGGAAGAGCAATTTTGTGTACTCAAAACGAGGAGTTTCAACTGCATCAGCCCATGTCCCTGTAAAACTTAACTAATGCTGAATCCAAGCCTGCCTATGTTCCACACCAGCTTTCTAAAAGAGTATAACTGATCAAAAGTTGCCATCATCTGATAAGACAGGATTTCCATAGAAAGGTTTCGTAGGCACAACCCATCAAAAGTTGGGTCCCAATCCTTCCCATGCTGATCATATTTAGAATAATGTAGTTAATTGAACACATTGTAGATCACAAACTATGTTACAGTCTATGCATCCTGAAAGCTTATCCACTAGTGAATAAGAGTTGGTTTTTACCTATCAGTATCGCCATAAATAACTCTAGCATTCCACTTGTCATGTGAATTTACAAATGAAATAGCAGTTTCCAATGTTCTTCGGCCACATTGCACAATACTATCAGCAAGTTCTGCACAAGGCATACGGCCACTAAAGCCAGCAGCTGTGTAACCGTAAGTGACATTTGCTATCAGCTTCAACGCAAGCTGTCTTGCATTGAATATCTGGAGGAACAAGAAGAAGGAAATGAACCAGTTATCATTTTTTATGCCATAACCTGCATATAAACAAAAACAGAACTTGACAAGGAGATATCTTTAATTGAACAACAATCATGAGGATAAATTGCAAAGTTCAAAACCCAGCTAATTCGTAAATAGAAAAGGTTAACCAACCAAAAATTCCAATAATATACATGTTGGTCTGTATTGGACATAGGAATCTGTTTCTAGTTATTGTTGTCATGTTTTTAGTTGTTTAGATAAGGGTACAGTAGTCAACTGAGTTTTATGGGTTTGACTATGATACCAAACATGACACTGGAAAAACTTGCAACAAATTAACCAGTGACAGAAAAGTGGTAACCAATCAGGTGGTTTTCATCAAAATTCACAGGAGGGTTTTGATTGGTCAAAGCTCTTCCAGTATCACACATTTTTAGCATCATAGGTTTTCCCTAGTTTTATTACCAAAGGGTATAGGCAATTTTGTTTTGTTATTTAAGCAAGCATTCTTGTAATCTTTCAATGTTTAAAGAGATGTGTGTATATAAAGAAATCTGGCCCATTGGGAGAGTGAATTCTCCCCAATTGGTAGATACATTTCTTAGCTTGTGTGTCCGCTATTTCTTCATTCCTTCTCTTGCTGCTGCTTCTTTTTCTGCTGGTATAAAAGGACCTTGTTCATGGCATCTAAGCAAGGTTTTTAACCAGATTTAACGATCATAATTATATTGAGTTATACAAATGCAGATTGAGCTGGCTCACTCTCAAATCATCAGTCAAGTACAAGTTACTGGACATTCATTGGAAGAATTTGGTGACGGAATTTGAGAGAAAAAAATGAATTGATTGTATTGTCATGGAAGGAGCATATACACAGCTTTATATAGAATTACAGAGCTAACTTACAGGGCGATAAAATAGGAAGCTAACTTTTCCTAGAAAACTAATTTCTATATCAGTGGGATTCTCCAATTAATATCCCATGATTCTAGGATATCCCACAATTCTAGGAAACTAACTTATGTATGTTTCCTAAACTGATGGACCTAAAATTATGGAGAATCATTAGAGAGTCAATCTTCTACTTTCCAACATTTGGTTACATGTAATCCCAAAAAGTAGAATGTCATCGCTAAGTCCAGAGTTGAGGTTGAACAACAAGCTATGGGTCATACCACTGGTGAACCCATGTGGCTGACAAGTTTACTTCAAGAGTTGGTATGTCCATTATCACTTCACAAGTTCACATACATCTCCACTGTGATAACCAAGTTACTATGCATATTGCCCCAAATTCATTTTTTCATGAAAGGATGAAACATATTGGCAATGTAGATACCCCATGTATCAAGTCAGAGAACCAGTTTACAGATTTGTTCTAAGGCCTTGAGCAGCTTGAAGGGGACTGCTGGACATGAAAATCTGCTTTTAGTTACTGTTATTTATGCTCTTAGTAATTTAGAGAAAGGTATGTTAGTCAGTTTATCTTTATTGCTTAAGGCATCTTTTTTGTTATTTAAATGGGTCGTTCTTGCAATCTTACAATATTTTAAGAGATGAGTATATAAAGAAGGTGCATTTTACAAGAGTTTTCAAATATTTTACAAAAAAATTATGCAATCATCAAAAAGTGGAGATAGTTTTGAAATTTGATCCCATAAAGCCCCTTCTTTATTTCAGATATTTCCCTATAAAGCTCAAATATTTCAGAGACTTTGTAGATGTAATTTTTGTAATTGACAAATTGGCCAAACATGTAACAAAATTCATATCCATTTTAGATTCTTTAGTGCAGGAAATCCGTCAAAGGAGGTAATAAAAGTAGAAAATTGATTATGAGGATTTCAAACAAGTAAAGTTTCCTTAAGTTGGAAACTATGATTTCTCACCCTATGTAAAACTCGTTGCGAAGGTTCCAACTTCTTAATTGCTTGTTTCACCATGATCCTAGTTGATAGTATTTCCTCCAATAAACGAGGAAGAATACCTTTCCTAACCTGCCATAGTAATGGAAATTAGTCATACAATGAGATGTAAAAGAGAGTTACTCTTTACAAGTTTCAAGATGATTACAAAAAAAGAAAGAAAATATAAGTCAACTTTATCTCAACTTTCATGAGCAACTAAGAAATCCCAAAATGTGTTCGACAATTCTTGGTCCCACCCACCAATCCATCCAAACCATCTCTCTCTCTCTCTCTCTCTCTCTCTCTCTCTCTCTCTCTGTGTGTGTGTGTGTGTGTGTGTGTGATCGGATTCTTTCGAGTCAGATAAGGGTGATCTGAATTTGATCCATTTTTAATCGGATCTTATTATTCGATCCAAAAATCCAACAGAGGATATCCAAACCTGAAAAGATAGCATCAGATTGGATCATGATCCAGTCCATTTGCACCCCTATCCCAAAAGACTCAAATGCCAACAGAAAAATCAACATAAATGGATATTTTTGACCTACAAACTTTCTCCCCATACCTACAAATGCTAATGGAGCAACAAACCTCTAATTCAACAATATAAATAGTCAAATATTGCAGGGGGTTTAGTTCAGTTGGCCTCCTGTGCAGAAGGCCTCAACCTTGCAACAATTAAAGGAAAAAATGGTTGACACAAATATAAAAGAAACATTAAAATGCCTACAAATAGGAATGAAACAAAATATTTTAAAACTATCAAAGAAACTAGGGATCACTGTTGGTGCAACGGTAAAACCTGAGGCTAACATGAGAATGCAAGTTCAAATCTGAAAGCAGATATATTGTGCAAAGAATGCCAAATATTAGGTCTGTAGCCAGTCCAAACTCCCAACTCCCCAAATAATTCATGACCAAATGTTGAGTGATGGCCCTTACAACAAATTAATCCGTGTGAAGCAAGATATGATAGTATGCGTAATTAATTTGACAACTTCCCTAACAAGTCAATTACTGTTTCTACACCATTTTGCAAAATACTTTTTATATCAATAACTGTAAACCTTCATTAATATCTATACTACTATTAAAAGTGCAAATGGGAGTGTGGAACTTTTGCTTGACTAAAATACCCCAATTTTTGAATTTGGTTGCTCAAGGTATTAACTCCCACTAACATTCTGAATCCTATTCTTGACTAGAACACCCTTATTTTTGAATTTGGTTCCTCCCTAATTGTGAGTGCACAAAAATGTAATTTGAACTACTACATTTCTCCTCGTTCAATTTCCTCTCATTGAGTCTTATATTTAGGGTATTCACTCTAATTCTTTCATTGTATATTAATTAACCATATTAAAGAAAAATAAGTAAGACAAAGAATAATTGTTTTTATTGATTATAGAAATAAAATACAAACTTAAAACCAACACAATGAAGTTGTTTTCCTATATGGTGGCAAGTCAACAATTCAACCTTTTTGGGTCAAATGCGTAAGCCCTTGATGTCATAATTAAATAATAGAGGTTTTAACGGTTAGCTCCAGGGCATAATTCAAAATACCCAATAGCCTTAAAAGATTTCACGTGGCACCCAATTAAAAAATTCGTATTTATTTTGAACTCCACTTGCTCGCCCACGTCAGCAAAGCGAGCAAGAAAATTCCCATTCTGCCCCTGATTTCTATTGACCACCATCGAGACAAATCTGTTTCTTCCTCTCAAAGCCCAAAGTTTGACTAGATTGGAAGATTGCTCCCACACCCAATATTCAGTCTCCTGTTGTCCGTTTTGCTTGCAAGAGGTGTAAATTGGGTTGTGCCACCCGTGGCCCGACACGACGGCACGCAGGCCATGCCAGGCTTGGCACGATGGTCTGGGCCATGCTGGGCCTGGGGTTCCAGGTCCATAGGTCGTCACGGCACGACTATGTCTGTCGTGCCGCCAGCGGGCCGCACTCGATGAACTAGACATTGGGGGGGTCCCTGATGACTAGATTCAGCTTTTTTTTTTCCGGGGGGGGTTATAGAAATACCCCCAATAGCTATAAACAACTATATAGGGGGTATTTATGTATTTTGGTTTGGGGGGGGGAGAAAGAATGACACAAATGCCCCCCCAACAGCTATATAACAACTAGTTTGGGGGGCATTTTGGGTAAAGTGATAAATAACTTTACAATAACCAAAGTACCCATCCCAACAACTAAAAAATGGCTAGTTTTTAGGGTATTTTGGGCAATTGAATTATTTTCATTTCCTATAAATAGCCTTATGGCACGTGATCTACTAACCCCTCCGGTGTCTACAATTCCATCGGAGTCATGTTTTAGTGCAGGTACTAGGGTGTTGGACGACAAGAGAAGTTGTATGAATGACAAAATCTAGAGATGTGCATCTGCTTTAAAGATTGGTTGGATGCTGAAGATGGATTACAAGACAAAAGAGGGCATGACACTACACCTGATGTTTCACCTAAAACAGATGAAGTCAGTATTTTTTGTATACTCAATAGTTGTATAGCATTTTTTCAAATTATTGTAAATTTTATTTAATTTTATTTAGTCTATTTTGTTAGAGTTAATTAGAAAAGGGTATTTTTGTCTTTTCTCTTTATGTATTATGTTGGCTGTATGTCTCCTCACATGTAGGGGCATTTCAATCTTTTGTATCTTATAATTTCAAATGCAAAGTATATGGTCGACTGGGTTAGATGAAGAGTCTAACCAGTTCAACACTGTCTCTCCTTCCTCTTCGTCTTCTTCTTCTTCCTCTTTCTCTCCTTCTTCCTCTTCGTCTTCTTCTTCTTTCTTCTTTCTCTCTCTTCTCTTCTCTGTTCGGCTGAACACTTTCATGGTATCAGAGTGCCAGTATTAGAAGCCGACTGCAACCTTTTGTCTTCTCCTTTTTCTTTATTTTCGTTTTTTTTTTTTTCTGGGCATGAGAAATCTGGGTTAGAGAAAAGAAACCCAGGTCTCTGTGGCAACATCTACTAGTTCGTGATGGTAGGGTTTCTATTTCTGCGGCAATACCTAAGGTTTCACAACAGTAAAGTTTCTGCAGCAACTTTTTTTTTATGGTGTGAGAAATCTGGGTTAGAGGACTGTGAAGTAACCCAGATTTCTGGTTCTGGTGACAGTAGGCAACTACAGCAGTTCAAGTGAACAAGAAATCCAAGGTTTTGTCTGTGTGGACTGCTGTCACTATACGTGACAGCTATGATGGTCGAGTGGGTGTAGTGGTTGTGGTCTGCCCTCAAATGAGCAGTTTCAAGAGGGATTCTGGGTGTTTTTAAATCTGCCGGTGCACAGATTAGTGGTGTTCACAGTGGCTGAATGCATGCTAGGGCAAGCTAGTGGTGACTTTTAAATGTGTTGGTGTGGAAGTAGAAGGATAGTAGTGCAGTAGCTAAAATTTGTTTTTGTGACCAGCTTCGTAGAGTGATTGGGAGCAAGAGGATGCTCAAATCATGACATGGTTATGAAACAGTATGGAGCCAAAAATCAGTGTTAACTTCATGTTTTTAGATACAGCAAGGGATATTTGGGAACATGCGAAGAAACTCTATTCGGGACAAGACAACACTACAAGGGTTTATCAGCTTTATCAAGAACACTTCAGTTTGCAACAGGGAAATCAGACTCTTGAAGAATATTATGCCAACATGAAAAATCTTCGGAATGAACTTAACGTCTATCATCCCTTGACCTCAAACGTTAAAATTCAGTGACAACAAAGGGAACAAAGTGACGTTACGCGGTTCTTGGTGAGACTGAAAGCAGAGTATGAACTGGTCAGGGCAGATATATTGGAAGGATTGCTCTCCCGACTCTCAAAGAAGTGTTTGCCCGACTCCGTAGGATATCTCTTAAGAGAGTAACAAAACTTCTGAAAGATCAGCACTGGTTAGTACTCGAGGTGGTTCTTATGGGCAGAGAGGAGGTGGCTGTATAGTTAAGTGAGGCTGTAGTAATCCTATGGGTGGTCGTACCAGTGGAGGAGGTCGTGATTCAAGGGGAGGTCGTGGAAGAGGAAGGGGGGAGCACAACAAGGAAGTGCACACACTGTGGGAGAGGACACAGTTAATTTTTGTTATGATTTACATGGCCCACCATTCACATGGGCTAATCATGCAGTTATTGGTGGTAGTGAAGTCAGTGATACTCAACAAGTTGATCCAGTATCTTCTACAGCCACAACTACTTTTGGGAGGGAAATGATGAGTATTCCCAGAGAGGAGTATGAAAGATTTCTTCAGGCCACTGCACATCAGAACACTACCACCCTTGCTCATTCAGGTATAGCTTGCCTAGCATCCAAACCCTTACCCTGGATAATTGACTCTAGAGCCTCTGATCACATGATCAGGACTCCAGGTGTGTTTTCCTCCCTTTCTCCAACCTCTACATCAAAGAATGTTACCCTTGCTAATGGATCTACTTCCCCCATCTATAGTGTTGGTAATGTTAGTTACCACTGCATCTTTGTCTTCTGTCTTATATGTCCCCAAGTTTCCTTTTAATCTTATGTTTGTTAGCAAACTAACCAAATTTCTCAATTGTTCTATCACATTTTACCTTTCATCTTGTGTTTTTCAGGATCTAACGAAGGGGAAGAAGATTGGAGGAGGGCATGAAGCTGGCGGATAGTATTATCTTGATGGTGGAGGCTCTACAGTTGCACTTCAAACCTCCTTGACTCCTCTTCAGTGAGTAGTCTATCATCTTTGCAGTATGAGTCATGTCAGTAGGGGAAACACCACCGGGTTTCCTTCAGTCCTAGAGTTGATAGTCGTATGTTGAGTCCTTTTGAGTTAGTTCATTCGGATGTTTGGGGTCCAATTAGAATTGAATCGTACAATGGTTATAGATATTTTGTAATTTTTGTTGATGACTGTTCCAAAATGACATGGCTTTATTTAATGAAAAAAATAAGTGAATTATTTTCCATTTTCCAAAAATTTCATGCTAAAGTGCGTATAGAATTTGGTGTTTCACTTAAAATTCTTCGTTCTGACAATGGTAGAGAGTATTTTCTTTCTTCCTTTCAGCAATACCTGGAACAAAATGGTATAATTCATCAGACCTCTTATGCCCACACTCAGCAAAATGGGGTAGCTGAGAGGAAGAATAGACATCTACTTGAAACAGTTCGGTCTCTTCTTCATCATATGAATGTTCTTAAACAATTCTGGAGTGATGCAGTCCTTACTGCTTGTTTTCTCATTAATCGCATGCCCACGTTCTCTATCTTGTTTCCTACTTTGTCTCCATTTCCCTTGACACCTAGAATCTTTGGGTGTGTGTGCTTTATTCTGAATCTTGGTCCTGGTTTAGACAAGTTGGATGCTCGCTCCATTAAATGTATCTTCCTTGGCTACTCTAGGACCCAGAAAGGGTATAAATTCTACAATCCTATTACCCGAAAATCCTTTGTTTGTCTTGATGATACATTTTTTAAATCAGTGCCTTACTTCTCTGGTCCTAGTACATATCCTTTGCCTACAGAGGTTCCTCTTCCTCTTCCAGTTGACGATTCCATTCCGGTGGTTCCTCTTGTACTACTCGAATGAGATGCAAAAGGTTGCATATGTGGAGCCAATCCACTCCATGTCTACCTTTGATTTGCCCTCCGCAACTACCTCATCATCCATGAGTGTTGGCATGAATGGTTCAACAACTACCAAAGACCAAACGACCACTAGGTCATCCATGGACGAAACATAAAGAGTCACAGCCAATCTAGAGAAGGGAGGTTAATTGTAGTCGTTGCTGTAACAATGAACACTACAAAAGAACCTACAAGGCCCCCATCAAGCAATTCCCCCGTTATCAACTCCATTCTCTAAAACACTAACACATTAATCATTTTCATGTCCATGGTGCACACCTAGTGAATATTGTTTGTACTTGGTTTTGCACGAGTTTATTACATGATGTTTTTGTACTATTTTGAGCTAAATTGCTGCTTAAATGCCAGACATTTCTCTGTGATCTTATTCAAAAGGGTAAAATGGTCAATGGTCAGATGTGTAATTGTGATGCTTCTTTCTTTTCTTTCTTGATAATTTATAACTAGCTGTGTAGATTTCTTTCTTAGGTCAGAACAAAGTGATAGAAGCTGAGTAAACTTGGATTTCTCCCTTGCCAGAAAGAGCAAAACAGAGGTTCTACAGAACTTTCATTTCTCTTTGTCACGCATTTTACGATCAATGAACCCGCTCCGCCTCGCTTTGATACATCAAAGGGACATGTCCCTACGACATGGCGGTTGTACCATGGCCGATCACCGACCACCCGACCCCGCAAACCACACGTGACAAAATACCAAAATTCCACCAAAGTGACACATTGATGGTGCAAAGGCAAGGGATGGGTGCCATACCCCAAAGGGCACAACAATATTGCCCTCCTAGACATCCCCACCTTGGGCACCCATCCATTCCTCATATGGCCTTGACCAATGGAGCAGAACGAAGGTTCGAATCTTCGTTCCTCTATATCGCGCATTTTACAATGATTGGACCCGCTCCGCCTTGCACTAGGACATCAAGGAGACATGACCCTATGATGTGGCAGTGGTCTCGGGGCCGATCCCCACCAACCCAACCATGCGCGCCACACATGACAAAATAGTGCGGAGGCACACAAAGGGTACCATATCCCAATGGGCTTAACAAGATTCACTTCCTAATGACCGTCCATTCCTCACACGACCTTGCCCAACAAAGCAAAACGAAGGTTCTGCAGAACCTTTGTTTCTCTCCACCATCCATTTTACGATCAATGGACCTGCTACGCCTCGCATTGGGACATCAATGGGACATGTCCCTACTACGTGGCGGTCGTCTTACGGCTGTTCACCAACCACCCAACCCTGTCCCCCACATGTGACTGAATACCGAAATATCACTGGAGGGTTCCGTTGAAGGTGCAAAGACACGGGATAGGTGCCATACTGCCATAAGTGTGACACATTGGCCTCTTGGACATCCCAACCCCTGACGCCCGTCCATTCCTCACTCGGCCTTGCCCACCGGAGAAGAACAGAGTTCATACCCTCACGGGCGCAACAACATTGACCTCTTGGACATTCCAAACCATGGCGCCCATCCATTTCTCACACGCTTTCCCTGACAGAGCATTAAACCTCTTGAATTTGCCATTGAAATGATTCTACTTAAAACATTTAAAAAACTAAGTAATGGCAAGTTCTCAAATAACCCCAAATTCATCTATACCATCTATCACCAAACCCACAACGCCTCAAGACCTTAATGAAAAAGGTCCAATCAACCAAGTCATAGGCTTTCTCCAAGTCCAATTTAGAAATCAAACCTTTTTACCTAGACCTCTGCATTTCCTCAACGCATTCATTGACAATCAAAATTTGATCCATAATTTGTCTATTTTGCACAAAAGCCCGTTGATTAGCAAATGTAATGACTGGGAGGACTTTCCTAATCCTTAGAGAAAGTACCTTAGCAATGATTTTGTAAAGACTATTCACCAAGCTCATTGGTCTCAAATCATGTTTTATTATCTCCCAACAATCTTGGAAAATGCCATAGTGAAGCCATCTGGCCTTGGAGCTTTGGACCTCTCCATTGAGAATACAACTGCTTTGATCTCCTCTTCTTCAAAGGGTTTTTGCATCCATACTTTTCAGATCCTCTAAAGGAATGGGCCACTTCAACCCTTCAACCTAAATCCTTTCATCAATGGGCTTTCTAAAAATAGATTTAAAATGGTCCACAAAAGCCCTTGAAATTTCACTTGGTTGAGTAAAAACCTCACCATCTATTCCTCAATTTTTGCCTCCAACCAGTTTCTTCTTTCAATAAGATATCCTCCAATTTCTTCTTCAATAGCCATATTAAATCTGTCTCTTTCTTCAATTAAACTTCTTGTTTGCTCTCTTCTAGCCTACCAAATGCAAATCATTCCATTCTTTGATTTTTATTTTCAGCCCTTGTAAATTCCTATGAAATCTTATTCCTTTCCATTGTGCTCTAGGCCTTTCCTCTTCCCACCATTCCTTTATGTTTTGAATAAAACCCATATGGTGTAACCACTTGTTTTCAAACCTAAAGGGAGTTGGATCCCAACCTCTCAGATCTTCCTTGTATAATGCTATCAGCCAATGGTCTAAAGTTACTCTGGGTAGTGCATTCGATACTAGTCCACCCCAATGCTCCTCCCAATCTATCAAAAACAATAACCTATCTAGTCTAATGAAAATGGGATTAAGTTGGATATTTGACCAAGTAAAATTATGATAGGCAAGTGGCAAATCCTCGAGTTCAAAGGAATTCATAAATTGACAAAACTTCCTCATGCTGGTTGTGATCCTTTGCCTTGGAATCATAGTTACAGAAGTCATTCACAAAGAGAATTGCTGGAATAGAAATGCTATATATTTACTCCCATCAGTAACATTAGCATGATTACAATACTTTATATCCTGTACGCATATGTAACATGCAGATGAACAAATATTACTCAAGCTTACAGAATGGTTACCTTTGAAGGCACATACATAACACCATTTGGGGTAAGAAGTATTTGATGCTTTAGATCCATTAGAAGCTGGGGATCTGGTGAATATGAGCTGACACCAAGTGTATTTAACCTTGAAGGAATGACTTTCCCAAGGCACGTGCAGAAACAGAGGTTATATGCAATAATCATCGATGGGTAAAGTGACTGGAAATCCAAAACAACGACTGGATCTGAATAAAACCCAGATTCTGGCTCCATTACAAGAGGTAGGCATTCCATTGCAGGTTGTGAGGCTACCTGGTTAAAAGATGAGATTGGCTAAGTACTTGGTAATTCTTAAGATCTATAAGCATATACATTTATAATAAACAAGAAAAAGATCAGATTCAGTAAATATATTGAAATAATACAAATAGGAACTTTCTATCTAAACATAGTAAAACACAATTAGCTCCAATGCAAAAATTCAAGAAAAAACAGATACGTAAGTCCGGCTTCCAAACTATGTTAGCTAATATTTTATTTTTCTTCTTACTTCATGGAGCTATAGAATGGGGGCAGTCCATCCCTACACCCATAACCCCCCAACCCTGGTGACAGCAGGATTTGATCCCAAGTCTCGGCTGCAACCAGCCAGAGACCTTACCACCTAGCTTCAGTTCAAATGATAGCAATTACTGCCTAAAATACATTCAGTCAACATGTTAGCAAGAGATCTATCAAAGATCCTTCACAAATTAAAAGTATTAGGTAAAGTAGAAATAAATAGATTACAGCCTTACACTGTCATCAAGTTATATGTATAGTATGTTCAAGTTAAAGGTTTGAACTTTAAGCCACTCCCATGTTATTCATTCTTGCCCAGAATGAGAAAGAATTGAAAAAATGAGGCCTGTAGCAGCGAACCAAACATCGCCTTAGTCATCTATAGCCAGATTCATAGTTTCATGATGGTTTCCACCTCCTCCAAATTAAGTAAGTTGAAATTTGATGGATACAGCTTTGGCTATTGGGGTCCATTAGGTGTTGGGGGTTCTTTAGAGATTATCATTGTTGTATTTTGGCAATTTTCTCAGGGCCATTTGGCCAAGGACACTCCACAAGGACAGAGTTTCTTGTGGTGTCTTAAGGATTTAGATTGATTAGTTCCATCAACATTAGTTCATTGCTGGTGGAGGGAGACTCATGAGTAGTAGTTGGCTGGTTAAGGGACAACAGAAAAGGCCCTTGGAAAAACAAGAAATAACGGAATTGATAGGCAAGATAAAAATAGATTTTTCATGGATTAACAGATCAAGTAATTCATTGGGAGATTTATTAGAATATTAGATAAACAGGGAACCAATAGGGATTAGCTCTTTTGGGGACTTTTAGACTTAATCTCTAATCTGGGAAGAGTGGACTAGGTGGCAATGACTGCCTATTTTGGGGTGCTAGGAACAGTTGTACAATACATATTCTTTATTTTTTCTAATAAAACCAATAGGTATCCATAAAAAATCAATATAATATGGCAAGAGAAAGCAACCATACAGCAACAGGAATTTTTTTTTGTTTGTTTTTTGAGAAAAAAGGACAAAGTCAGAAGAAAACCTGTTGGCGGCTAGGAGAGGTGACAAGGTAGTTCTGTGTATGAGCCAATCTCAGAAGCATAGATTCAACTCGGTACTGTGAACCCCGAGAAAGAACTGAAAAGAAGTCAATGCCAAAAACACGAGCAAGCTCCGATGTCCGATTTACCTGCAAAGCAGACACCAAAAGAATGGCAAAATTATCTTAAATAGACAACCAAACTAAAAATTATTTGATAAATTTACATATTAAACATATCTGACAGATAGGTTTTTTAGGTTTTTTCTTTAATCAACTGGAAACTAATTATCTTAAATAGACAGAGCACCTTACATCGAAAGCACCAATCCCAAATTGTTAGGATAAGGGTTCTTTGGTCAAATAAGTCAAAATATCATATAAAGAACAGAAAGAAATGCATGAAGAGAGAGCAAAGAAAAGAAAGATTAAGAATCTGTAAGGCAAACATTAAGAAAGACAAAAAAAATCAACCAATTACTTATTACCCCTCCTAAAAGGAGATATGATTCACACCAGTTACTTGTTTTGAATGGTTTTTGTAAAATGAAACACCAATCAATGGCAGGCACAGATTTGTAAAATGAAACACCCATCAATGGCAGGCACAGACCAGGATAAAGGCCTAAAGAAAGACTGGAATGAATGCAGACGGTAATCATGGGAAAGGATCAAAATACATGTAAAACAACAGATGATACACACACATGAGAATAGAATGGCAAAGCAGGATGAGGATTCATGTAATAATGAGATTATCATAACAAAGATATTATCAGCTCAGAGTATCTATTTTTACAGATATAAAAGCAAACACTAGGAAAGGAAGTTATACTAAAAAAGTAGTGAGGTCTTATCAATTTCAGGACCAACTTCTTTTTTCTTGTGATGGAAGGAAACAACAACAAAGATGAGCAAACAGCTTGGCTGATGCACTTGCCAAGCAAGGGGTGAACAAGGCACAATTATTTTGGGGTAATTTAAATGTAGAAAGCAAGTACCAGAGGCTAGGGTTAGGAAAAAGGAGCCAGTTACCGATCAAAGGAAAAGGTGATAACTTCATATATAGGTGACATCTTGTGGAGCATTTCAGTTTTTAGTGTGAATTTTGTATAGGACTCTTCCAGCCATGTCAAATTGCAAGTAAAGTACAACCTAGCAATCCATAATGTTTAAGAAATATCATAATAGTGTGTTTTCTTGATGGTTATTACGCTTTCCAACAACAAGCTACACTAAAGCAGATATCCCAAATCTACCCATGGAGTGGACACCAAATCTCAGTGACTTAACAGTAAAATTCAAATTCTTCGATACAAGAGTCCAGACTCTTGTCTAGACTCACCCTCGCAAATGTGAAGTAACAAATGCTTTGACATGTTAACAAAGTTAGCTATGTTATCCCATGCTTTGACATGTTAAAGTGAAAATTCCACTAAAGAAGTGCCTCATTACAATACCATATCAAGTTTATTCATTATCTCAAGGTCTAGATTTGCTCTCTCAATGATACATTCAATGCAACGGAACCTTGCCCCAGTAGGACCACTTGAAAACCACTGAGACAATATTCTGTTTGGAATTGATGGAACTTTCCTCTTCAGAACTGCTTCAGCTACAGCTTCAATTGTGTAAATGTTAAGCTTAACTTCTCCGCGCATCAGTCGCCAAATATTGAGGACAATTCTTCCACCAACATGGACACCACTTGCATGAGTACGGCCCCATTCATCTTCAACTATTGCATCTTCAAGAAAAATGGAATCAGTAGCTAAGGCATCAGGAGGCGTACTACCTGGTATTTCTCCTTCTGTATGTACTGAATCTTTGACTACACTTTTTGTTTCAGATGTAGGTGTGCGAGATATGGAATTTAGTAGAGTTACACCAAGATGTGCAGCTCTTTCAGCTAAAAAACCCAAGGAACCACCCTGAATTTCCCAGCCCATCAAGATATCAGGATCCAGTGAGCAAATAATTTGCACAAAATGGTCAAACATAGGCTTCTCCTCAGAGACAACCACCACCTTGCACCCAGATATTCCATCAAGATTTCTGTAAGAGAATAACCAAAAGATAGAAATACATAAAACAATTACTTCCCCCACAATTAACCAATAATTAAAGCATATAAAAAGAAAATACTGACTATATCATAGTAAATCCTGTGATTGTCCTAATACCAATTGACTGCAGAATGTTTAACCAAGATCTTAAACAATATTAAAGAGTCATTGCAAATGTTCTTCTTTCTTCTCCTTTCTTTAGTTTTTATGGACTAGTTATCATCATTGCCGCAGTCTTATGTCCATTGCAGCATGAAGATAAAAGTTTCAGAATGACTTAAGATATCTTCCCTCTTTGCTCCTAATTTCAGTTCCAATGTTTTTTCCGTTTATAGTTCCAATCTTCATGTGTTAGCAGTTGGATCACAGCCAAGCTTGAATATGGGGCATCAGTCTGCATTTGGGTTTGGGTATGGGTCTGGATATGAGGCCCAGCCCATCCAGGGCAGGTCTGTTGGGACCCAACTCCACTAGTAACTGAAATGTTTCTCCCAGATAGGGGTACAACTTGGGCAGGCCCCGGACTGACCCAGCCTGCAATTTTCCATGTGCTGGGCTTGAATTTTTGGTCCTTGGGCTGGGCCTGAGGCCAAAAATTCAGGCTTTTTAATTTTTCAGGCTGGACTCAAGCCTAGCCCTTAGGTAGTCCAAACCCGGACCAAGATTGACCCGACCTTATCCCAACCCAAGCCCAGCTCAATTATATACATGTATATATGCATATATAGACACATTTACATGCATACATGCATATATTAATTTTTTAAATAAGCCATACATATATGCATACATGCATACATGCATACATGTATATCAATTTTTAGTGTGGGCTGATTGACCAACCCAAAGCCCAGCCCAGGCCCAAGCCCAACCCGAGTGCATCAAATTTTAGTGTGGGCTGGGGTTGGGTTGGATAGTCCAGGCTTGACCTTGGGTTTGGGCTTTAGGCCCAATTCCCAGAGTTGGGCCTGGGTTGAAATAAAACCTGGCCAGCCTGCCCGATTTGCACCCCTACTCCCAGCATTCAGCTCCTGCATCATAGATACATATCAAACATTTAAGGATGAGTGAAAAAGCATATGGAAACATAAGATAACAGTAGGTGTCAAAGTTACTAGACCTCTAGACAGAATTTCTGATCATCCATTCAAGAACAAAGCTGGTTTTGGAATAGGTATGTGAACTAGAAAGGGAGGTGGAATCCATGATCCAGTGGATAATCAAATCACTAGGCCCTCTAGTCATGCTATTTTCCATATAAGCAACTGAAAAAGCTGCTAGAAGTTGGCTACTTTCTGTATTCCATGCATAACATTTTTTCAGAGCCAAACAGCAGAACACAGAAAGTAGCAGATTCCAGAATCCATTTCCAATTTACTTTTCTGTTCCTGACCCAATCCAAACATTAATAACATGTAAAAATAAGTGTGCAGCATGAATAAAGTCATCGGACCTTAAACATGATTTCCCATCATCACAACGCATAAGTAAAAAAATATCAAGATTGTGACTGCTATCCTCCTGTGCTACCAGAGCTATACAATTGATGGCATCAAAGCGAGGATCTGGGCGGAGATCTCCTCTTGATTCTGCTTGAACCTGTTAAGAAAAATCTGCATTTTGGTAAAATGAGAACATAAACATTTTTTATAGATTTTTGGAGCAAGTTTTAAAGGCAGTCGTGCAAAAACTTATTTACATTGTGAGTTTTAAATGAGAAGAATTCCAATAAGAATCATATCTTCATGGCAAGCTGCGCATGCATGACATCTACAATCTATATACCAGCTTAAGAGGAAGTTTGAATGATGTACCTAGTACTTATTATTCTTCATAAAGTTACATTGTGCTGTACTAGGTATATTTTTGCCTTACGTTATCCTTACAAGTAATAGAAGTAGAGATTAGAGAGTAAGGCACATTAAATTATTTCACATGTTTCTTTTTTCAGCATTACTAATCTGATAATCACTAGTAAAACCTAACACAATTATATGACCTAAATCTTTAGGGGATTAATTTGGGAATGCTAGAGTCAGCTATAGAGGGGTAGTATAGGCAATTTACATTAAGTTATATGTTGGATGTAATTACAAGTAGGTCTTAAGTTAGCTGATGTGTCTCTCACTTAAGTGAAGGCACAAGAGTAATTCTGATTTGTTTAGAAAGGTATAAATAAAGCCTGGCCGACTAGAGAGTTGACTTCTTCTCTAGTTCAACTAGAACAGTTTTCTCTTCTTCTCCTCTTTTCTTCTCTTCTCCCTGTTTCTACAGGTTCTTCTTCTTATTATTATTTGGAAATATAAGAACACTATACCTGACTTCTATCATGGTATCAGAACCACGATAACCAGTTCAGATCAACCTTTTTTTTCTCCCTCTATTCAGCGCATATTTTCCTAGGGTTTTGCAGATTTCTCATTGGTACATAGGAGTTTCACAGAGGGACTAAAAAGTACTGATCACATTCTTGTTCTGGAGGTTTTCATGCCTTCAATGGATAGAGTTGTTGCTGTTTTGTGTGGTTGGTAGAAAACCCTCTACTCGGCAGTTCGAAGAGGGCTGGTTTTAGGTGTGAATTTGAGTGACCGTGCAAGTTTGGTTGGTGGGGGTTCAGATAGGTAGGTTCCATGGGTGTAGCAGTGAGAAACAGATTGTGATGTGTTGCAGAATTTAATTCCCTGTTCGTGAGGTGTATTGTGATGGTTTATGGTGCTGAAAGTGGAAGACAGCAGTGGTGTTGTTGCTGAAAATGGTGAACAACAGTGAGTGTTGTTGCTGAAACCTATGATAGTAAGTACCCTAGTAATAATCAGACGTTGGTGTGTAGTGTGGTGACTAATTAGTGGAGTGGAGTGACAGAATAGTGGTAGAATTTCTTTCCCTTTCCTTGTGCAGTCATGGGAGACAGCAGTGAATGCAAGTCTAGTGTAATGGTCCCTTCTGATTATCTGAATGTGCAGATGACACCTATCAAACTGAATGGTGAGAATTATGTGTCTTGGGCTAAATCTGTTGAAGTTTTTCTGAAAGTTAAGAAGAAAGTGAAGCATGTGAGGGAAGATAAACCCCCAACTGATTCTCAAGCATAGTTGTCAAGGCGTCGCCTAGGCGACTAGGCGCCTTGCCCAAACGCCTTGACTTTTAGCAACTAGGCGCCCTTCTAGGTGACTAGGCACCCACCTAGGCGAATAAGCGCCTGCCTAGGCAACAATTATACTTTGTTTATATGCTATATATATATATCAATTATACTTTTTTTTAATGTTTTACTATTGAAATTTAAAAGATCAAAAGGTTTTGAGAAGAGAAAAAGAAAGAAAGAAAGAAAGAAAGAGGAAAGAAATAATAGAATAATAAAGTTATTTTTTCTATTCTCTCTCTCTCTCTAATTAAATAAAACAGAAACTCCATCCTTGTTTTTTTTCTATTTTACTTTCCATCTTGAATATTTATCATATAAAGTTGATAACCATCTTTAGCTGCTAGCTAATTAATATGAATTTGCTCTATTAAATACTTATTATAGTAGTATTATTTTTGAAAATAATGAAATTAATATATGTAAAAGATTTTTATCTTTTAGATGTGATGATTTGCCACATTTTTAGAGGAAATTTAATGTTCTTAATAAAGAGAATTGCTATTTTTTGAATTAACATACATGCTGAATGGTATATAAAACTACGAAACTAGCCAAAAATCAGATTTTTATATTATAAAATTTTTATCGCCTAGGCGACTAGGCGCCCCAGTGTCGCCCAGAATCGCCTAGACGCCTTGAAAACTATGTTCTCAAGGATATGATGAGTGGGAGCAAGAGGATGCACAAATTATGACATGGCTATGGAATAGTATGGAACCCAAAATCAGTGTGAACTTCATGTTTTTAGATACAACCAAGGAGGTCTGGAATCATGCAAAGAAGCTTTATTCTGGACAAGGCAACACTACTAGGGTTTACCAATTGTACCAAGAGTATCTCAATCTGCAACAGGGGAATCAGAGTCTTGAGGACTATTATGCTAGTATGAGAAATCTGTGAAATGAGTTGAATGTGTATCATCCTCTTACACCTGATGTCAAAATTCAACAACAACCGAGAGAGCAGTTGGATGTGACCAGATTTTTAGTAGGGTTGAAGTCTGAATATGAACCGGTTAGAGCACAAATACTAGGTGGGTCTGCTCTTCCCTCTCTAGAGGAAGTGTTTTCTCGTCTCCGGAGGATCTCAATTGGACCCACGAAGAACTCCACTATATCAGATAGGTCTGGATTTGCAGTAACGAGAGGGGGAGGCCGTGGAGTTAGAGGAGCTTAAGAAGGTCAGCCTGGTCGTGGTGGTGGTGGCATGTATAGTCATGGTGGTGGTGGTGTTGGAGGTCGAGACTCAGGGGGAGCCCATGGTAGAGGACGTAGTAATGGTCAGAGGAGGTGAACACATTGTGGAATGGAGGGACATACAATCAATTTCTGTTATGATCTACATGGCCCACCTTCGACCTAGGCAAATCATGCAGCGGTAACTGGTGGTGGTTCGAGATAGGAGTCTCAGCAAACTGATCAGATACCTTCTACATCTACAGATGCCTCCGGAAATGAGATGATGAGTGTTCCATGTGATGAGTATGAGTGGTTCATTCAGGGTACGTCTCAGTAGAACACGACTACCTTTACACACTCAAGTATGGCTTGTCTGGCATACAAACCTTCCCATTGGATTATCGATTCTGGAGCTTCCAATTATATGACTGGGACTCTAGGTGTGTTTTCCTTCCTTTCTCCGTTCTCCACATCACAATCCGTTACTCTTGCCAATGGTTTTACATCTTCCATATGTGATGTTGGTAATGTTGACATAGACTCATTATCCCTATCCTCAATTGTATATGTTCCCAAGTTTCCCTTTAACCTTATATTTGTTAGTAAATTGACCAAGTCCCTTGATTGCTCTATCACTTCTTACCCTTGTGTGTTTCAGGATCTCAAGACGGGGATGAAGATCGGTGGAGGGCGTGAAGCTGGTGGACTGTATTATCTTGATGGCGGTGGTTCGACAACAACCCTTCAGACACCTCTTTCTCCTCTTCAATGGCACTGCAAACTTGGTCATCAATCTCTTAAAGCTCTTAAGTTACTTGTTCCGTCGTTGAGTCGTCTTTCTACTTTGAATTGTGAGTCGTGCCAATTTGGGAAACATCATCATATTCCCTTTAGTCCTAGAGTTGATAGTCGTATATCGAGTCCTTTTTCTTTAGTCCATTCGGACATCTGGGGTCCAAATAGAGTAGTGTCTTATAATGGTTACAAGTACTTTGTAGTTTTTATTGATGATTATTCAAGGATGACATGGCTTTACCTTATGAAAGAAATGAGTGAATTGTTTTCTATCTTCCAAAAATTTTATGCTGAGATTCACAATCAATTTGGTGTACACATTAAAATTCTTCGTTTTGATAATGGCCGTGAGTATTTTTACACACCATTTCAAGAATATTTGGAACAACATGGCATTATCCATCAAACATCGTGTTCCTACACCCCTCAACAAAATGGGGTGGCTGAGAGAAAGAATCGCCATCTTTTGGAAACTGCTCAGTCCCTCTTACATCATTAGAATGTTCCCAAACACTTTTGGAGTGATGTTGTACTTACATCTTGCTTCCTTATTAACCGCATGCCCATGTCTATCCTTGAAGGTCATTCTCCATTCTCGGTTTCATTTCCTACTTTGTCTCCTTTTCCTCTTACTCCTAAGGTTTTTGGGTGTGTGTTTTGTTCATAATCTTGGGCCTGGAATGGATAAGTAAGATGCCCGATCCACTAAGTGTATCCACCTTGGCTATTCTAGGACTCAAAAAGGGTATAAGTGTTATAACCCCAGTTCCCAGCGTTTTTTTGTATGTCCCAATGTTACGTTCTTTGAGTTTGTTCCTTTTTTCTCTGGGTCGAATGTTTCTTCTCTTCCATCGCCTCCCCTTCCAGTTCCTGTTGAGGACCCCATTCCTCTTGTTCCAATTGTAACCAAGTCTTCGCCTCCAGTGCAACTTCCTACTGAACGACCACCCATCTGGTAAGTGTTTACGCATTGTCAAATACTGGCTCCTCCCCCAACTTCGTCACAGTTGACAAATCCGACAATTGTTCCCATCCTAGTCCCACCCCCTGGTTCTGACCTTGATCTTCCTATTGCTTTGCGGAAAGGTAAACATAGTTGCACTCTTCACCCCATTTCCAATTATGTTTTTGTATCTCACCTTTCGGCTTCCCATCGCCAGCTTGTTTCTGTGTTATCCTCCATCTCTGTTCCCAAGGATGTCTAGGAAGCTCCTACTTCTCCAGGGTGGTGCCAAGCAATGGAGGAAGAACTCCCGCCCCTAACTTGTACTCATACGTGGGACCTCACCACTCTTTCGCTTGGTAAGCATGTTGTAGGTTGTAAGTGGGTGTACACTGTTAAGTATTTACCTGATAGGAGTGTTGAGCGGTTGAAAGCTCAGTTGGTTGCCAAAGTTTATTCACAGTTGTATGGTATCGATTACATAGACACCTCCCCTATTGCCAAAATTGGCTCCATTCGTGTTCTGATCTCCCTTGCT